AATACTGTTTAAACAGTTTTACTTCTCGTGGTTGTCTCTGTCAGTCCGAATCCATAAGAAACTGTTAATTTTTGTTAACTTTGATGTTTTCAACTCAAAAACATTTTGTTTTTGAGAACCTTTTAAGTTATTGATTCAGACAATAGATTTCCGAAAATAAATTCAGAGCATAGATATCTTCAAAATTTTACGCCGGTAAACGTTTTATAACATCGAATGAAAAAACATTATACGTCTCTAAATTTACGGCTGTAAAAATTCCTGAGTAAAAATTCCGGCGGTAGAATTTTACGCCGATAAAAAGTTTTATAACATTGACACTAGGTATAACTTCTATTGACTATGTATTTATAAAGCCCGTTCTCCATTCAGAACTTTTTGCGCTTTGGAGGAGCGGAAAAGTTCTTTGAGCATGCGCAAAAAGTTCTGATTAGAGAACGGGTTTAAAAAAACTGTTTGCGCATGCTCAAAGTTTTTTTCGCTTATCCAAAGACTTTTCGGCTTATCCAAAGCGCAAAAAGTTCCGAGCTTAAGAAAACGAAGCGTATGTTTATGTAACTCACCCTACCATTTTTTAACCCTTTGAGCGCTCGATAAAATTTGAACGCCGTTCAGAAAAATTCAACTAAAAAAATATCGGCAAAAAAAAAGTAAACTTAACTAAAAAACAAACAAACAAGAAAACAACTAATTTTGAACTTTTTTATTTTTTTGTAGGTTATATAAGATTAAAAGCAGTTTAATGATTTTTATGCACAACTGTTGTGTGATAATTGGAAAAACAGGCTGGACACAGTCCAACACCACATAACTGACACTGCCAACTTGTGCGGACTCGAGTTTGGTGCCCAGCTACACATTTTATTTTTTTTCCTGCACCAGCCTTAACAAGATTGTGACCATATAATGGATTATTATTTGCAGTGTGTTGGGCAAGTGGGTATGGGACAGTTGTACTTCTAGCCACTACAATCTCTATTGATGTTCTTTTTTTAGAAATTACTTTAACTGGAAAATAACCTCCGGCTAAACTTTCCACTAGAGCCATCATAAAATCTATTCTTGACATTGACTTTTGCTCATTTGTATTGAGCTTATACAATAAATAGCTACTTAAAATTGCCCTACCAAATAAAGAAAAAGCAACCTTAGTTGTCCACTTTATTGTTTTACGCTCAGACAAGTACACATAGAGATGTGCATCACCCAAATCTACATCTCCCATGGTTTTATTGTAAAGGGCAACAACATTAGGTTTCATAACTATATTTCCTCTTCTGTTACGCATTTCAGTAAAACCTGTTTTGGCAACAGTAGATAGTAATATAGGCTTTTTTTTACCATCTTGGTATGCCACACACAACAAGGGACCTTTTCTATATTGACAAACCTCCTTTTTTTTTAATTTCGATTCAATGCAGCTTTCTGGTAGGCATTTCCTGTTGACTCTCACTGTGCCTGTTGTAGTGATCTGATGAGGATATAGATCTAATAACAGATGAGGAGAAGTATAATAATTGTCAATACCTAAGTGATGACCTTGGTGGAGGAAATTAGTTTGGCGCAAAAGACGAAAAACTAAACTATAAGTCATACCATTGGCAATGGCTGCTACATCTAGGTCTTTTCCTCTTTTGTAAATTTCAAATTGACACAAATAACCGTTAGTGCTGTCTGAAACACAACATAACTTAATCCCAAACCTAGAATGACGTTTGTTTGGCATATATTGACGCAGATGTGGTGTTTTTCCTTTGTAGCCAACCATACTCTCATCTATAAAAATGTCTTTTTGTGGATAGTAATAATATAGAAACTTGATATTAAAATGTTTAACTAAAAACTGAATTTTATAAATTTTTTTGAGTGGTTGTTGATTTGGTATATGGATGTCTCTAAAATGAAAAAATTTAAGCAAAAGTTAAAACCGGTCACGATTGAAGTGGGTAACAAACCAGGGAGTAAATGCACAAAGATGACTTATATCCCAGTAAAATTTAAGATTAACTTTTTTGATGAGACCCATGTTGATTACGACTCCAAGGAAAGCTCTTAACTCTAAAAGATTGGTTTTTTCTTGTTTAATCCATCCATGATCTCTTGATGTTGGATGGGACCTCAAATGTTCTTGATTGTTTTGAATCCACGTGTCAGCATAATTATTAGTAAAATTTACTATATTTTGCAAAAATTCAGTTGTAATAAACAAGTCCATATATTCAATAGGTTTAGACTCAGGTGAAATTGAGTGCTTGGGTCCTGATTCACCAGTAAAGTGAACAACATTAGGACCATTTTCATCTTCTAGAACAAAAAACCAATCATCTAAAACATTACCACCAACATCACGTACATCAACATCGCCATCAGAACTAAAGTCTACATAAAAATTAAAATAAAATACTTCGAATTATCATACTAGGTGACATATTTGTATTAAATAATATTGTATACAAGTTTTAAATTAAAGTTATCGTGCCTTCATCAAACAAACTGTCATCGCTGCAACTTAAAAATTCTTCGCTGCACTCTAAGAAAAAATCCGTTATATACAACGAATTGTATCTGTCGCTATTGCACTAACGGGAAATCCGTTATGTTAACAAATTAAAATTTTAACGAAATGAACTCCGTTAGGAATAGTCCGTTGAATTTACGGATTTATTTCGTTAGTGCAATGAATAATCCGTTAAAATTAAAGAGTTATTACACAAGGCAGCAAATTTTCCGTGGTTGTTATTTCTATGAAATAAATGTGTTAATAAGTTATTTTAGTGATTATTTCGTAAATATCACTAAAATCTAAAATTAGAGAGGCCAGAATTGTGACTTCATAACGAAATAATCCTTATATTTGTTAATGTTTGCATTTTTATTTAATTGCATTTTTTTATTTCGATATTCTACATTAAAACGTTTTAACCAAAAATTGAAAACTAATCAAATATTTGTAATATTAAATCCAATATACTTTAAATTACAATAAAAATAGTAAAAAAAAAAATATTTTTAATACACTATACTCAAGCTAGTACATTTATATAAAACACACACATATATATAATAGATGTTTAAAATAAACCAATGCCAAGATATTAGTTTTTGGTCGCTAGTTTTGGTTTGGTTGGTTTAATGTTTTGGTTTTAAATACTGTTGTTACTCGTACACAGGTTCGCACTTTAAATCGGACACCATGCTGTCAACTCCTTAAAGATTAATATAAAATAAAATAAGGAAAATATGGAAACTTAATAACATACCTAGTATAAAACCAAAATAAAATGGTACTGATAACACTATAGAAAATGTTTTTGGTAATTCATTATGTATAAATTTCTATTGTAAATTTTGTTATTTTAATTATCTCTGATATCGTTTTCTAAAGATAAAGTTAAATGGAACAAGTAAATTATATCTTTATTAAAATGTAAATTAAAAAAAAAGTATAAGATTACCTTTACATAATCTGATAACTGAAAGACTCTATACATTTTACATACATTAATACCTATCAGAAGCAAAAAGAAGGTCTCTATAAACCTTTTAAAAACTATGATAAATCAAAACAAGATTAAATATGCAAACAAAAAAAAACTCAAGCAACTAAACAAAAAAAAATTAATTTTACAACTTATTTAAACTTACAGCGTCATACCACTTGTCACATGTTTAAAATAGCTAATTCTAAAATAATAGTGAATATAGAATATAGTAGAATAGTTAAAAAAGTATGATATAAACTTAATCTTAACTAAACTAAATAAATATGCATGCCAAAAGAAATGCAAGTTAAAATACAATTTTTTTAAATTTACTAATTCAAACTTACAGTGGGATATCACAAGCCACATGTCTAAAACAGAAAATTCTAAAATAATATAAACACGCCAGATATAAACTTATTATTATTATTATTATTAATAGTTGAAACTCAACTAAATAAATATGCTCGCCAATAGAAATGCAAGTTACAATATAAGTTTTACAATCAATTTAAACTTACAGTATGACAGCTTATACCAAGTGTCTAAAATAGCAAATTCTGAAATAATATAAACAAGCCATACACAAACTTAGTTGTAATCTATTTATATAAACATGAACGTCAAAATAAAGGCAAGTTAAAATATAACTTTTTATAAATTTACTAATTCAAACTTACAGTGGGATACCACATGCCACGTGTCTAAAACAGTAAATTCTAAAATAATACAAACACATCAAATTTAAACCTAGATTTAAATAACTAAATAAATATGCAAGTTACAATATAAATTCTACAACCAATTTAAACCTACAATGTGACACTAAATGCCGTGCCTCTAAAGCAGCAAATTCTAAGATAGTATAAATAACTCATATATAACCTTAGTTGTAACTCAATTAAATAAACATGAATGTTAAAAGAAATAGAAGTTCCAATATAAATTTTTTAATTTTACAACTAGTTTTAACTTACAGTGAGATAGCAAATGCCATGTGTCTAAAACAAAAAATTCTAAAATAATATAAACACACCAGTATAAACTTAATTTATGATATTGGATGCCACATGTTTAATTTGGAAATTAATAAAAATTGCAATTTAAAAAAGCATATTAACTAGCCATGTAAACTTAGCTGTAACTAACCTAAATAAATATACCTATCAAAGATGTTAACATTTTTAATTTTACAACTGATTTAAACTAATATGGTATGTTACTACATGTCATATGTCTAAAATATAAAGATAAAAATAACTATAAATAATCCATTTAGTCTATATTATAGAACGAATTGTTCAACTAACCCTTTACTACTAGTAAAGGATTAGTTAAACTTTTATTTCTATAATATAGACTATATGGATTGCATATATTCTTGCATAATATTCTAGATTTAGACATGTAGTAACTTACCATATATGATATGTATTAACTTACCATATATGTTATTATATATTATTTAGTTATACTAATGGCTTTAAATTTAAAATAAAACAAACCTTATTGTTAAATTTTCTATATAAAGCTTAATATAGAAAATTTAAAATAATCTAAATAATCTTCGAAATAACAGAGCGTAATTTAAATTATATTTATCCATTTGCTGGCGGACGTGTAATCGGCACATCCCCCAATATTCGGTAACTACCGACAATTTACGAGTGCGATTTATTTTGAAATCTATTGGTTAATAAAAAATAAAATGATTGGTTAATTCATTCAGATCAATGGGCTGCCTATAATAATTTGAACAAAATAGGCTTTAACCATTTTATAGTAAATCACACAACCAACTTTGTTGATCCTGTAACGCTAGCAACATCAAACCATGTTGAGGCTTTTTGGAGTCGAATAAAGCAAAGATTGAAATTTGTTTGCGGGTCACAAGGTGATTTGAAGTGGAGTCGACTTGATGAAGCAATATACAGAGAGTATTTCGCTTTTAAAACTGAGAACCTTTGGCAAAACATTACAATTTTTTTACAACATATTCATGACAAGTATCCTCTCTAATAAAATAAGCTGTTTTATTTTATTTACTAAAATTATTTTATTAGAGAGGATACTTGTTTGTAGGTTTGTATATATATGTATATATATATATAATTTTGAAAAAGTTTTATTTGATAGTAAATAAGTCTTTTTAGTTTTAAGCAAGCTTTAAAATACTACAAGTAATATAAATAAAAATAGTTTGTAAACAAGTTCTATTTTGTATATAACATGTTTTATTACGCATGTTTGTGATAAAGAAACGAAACATTTGTTTTGATGTAACTTTATTAGATACCTTTTTTTTAAATGTTCTATTTTGCTATATTTTATTTAATATAGAACAATATATAAAGTTAATAAAACTGCTTTGTTTTTGTCGATTTTTTTCCTTCCGTACTTTAAGTAAATCGCACTCGTAAATAACTCCGTACCGCAAGTAAACTACGTCCTAAATCACACTCGCAAATTGTCGGTAATTACCGAGTTTAGGGGGGTTGCGCCGATTACACGTCCGCCCATTTGCTTTGTCTACTAAATGTAAAGCTTTTTAAAAAATGGCATATTACATTTACTGCAACCAACTTTTATCTACGATGTAAATGTAAATGTGAGAAAAACGCATTTAAAACTTTATCTTTTTTGAAATAAAAAACTATAATATTCTGAAAATTTTTTTTGACCGATTAGAATATTTTATTCGTTGAATTAACGAAATTTCAAAGAATCCGTAAATAGTTAATTTTACTCCGTTAATTTTCTGGTTTTTGGTAACGAATTAATCCGTTAATTTAACAAAAAAACGCAATCCGTTACTTTTTTTAACGGACTGTTTTTAGAGTGTGGTACAACTCTCGTCATCTATACAACTTTCTTCACTGTCGCTCATTTTCAAAACCAAATATATAACAACCTTCGACCATATAAACTGATAGACACGCCTTACCGCAAGTTAATTCACAATATTTTGAAGTCAACATTATTTAGCGCGTGACGTCACGTTTGGGCATTTTTAATATCGGTTTAGGGTGAATGTATTTAACATTTTTAAAGTTTTATTATTTGTTATGTATATTATTTTGTTTAAATTTTGATTTTCAAATAGAATATAGATATATAAAGATCATGATTTTATCTTGTTTTGCATATAATTGCACTCAAAGATATATTAAAAGGGTTCCTTATCATGTGTAAGTAGCTACAAATCATTATTTGCTAAGATCCTACATTATATTTCAAATATAAATAGCATATTATTTTATTATGCTTATTTTTTTTGGTAGTTTTCTGAAAGATATGAAATTGAGGAGAAAACGGATACATGTTATGTGGAGTGATGGTTTTACTCCTAGTAAACTGTCTAAACGTTGTGGTAAATATTTCACTGGTATGAAGGAAATCTTTCGAGTTCACAAAAGAAACTAAAAAAATATGCAATTTCTTCTATATTTAATTTCCCAATACTTTTATGAAAAGTATTTATTCTAGAAAGCTACCAAAAATATAGACAAAGAATTATTTCAAATATTGCCACCAATGATTCAAATACAGTAAGTCTAATGCAACTAATCTTTTTGCAATGACATATATTGATTAAAAAACTTTTAAGTTTACTTTTTGTAACATATATATTGTGTGCCTATATATATATATATATATATATATATATATATATATATATATATATATATATATATATATATATATATATATATATATATATATATATATATTTTTTTTTTTTTTTTTTTTGAAAAAAAAATGAATGGACAGCCATAAATTTTCTGGTTATATTGATTTTTGTGGTGATATCAATAATAATAGTTAACTCAAAACAAAAGAAACTTTAGTTTTTATGGTAAACTGTATAAATGGACGTTGGAAACTTCCTGATGTATAATTTTTAATTAATAGTTTAGATGGTTGTGAAAAAACTAATATTGTTAAGCGTTGTCTGTAATTTATTTATGAAAGTGGTGAAGAAATTATAAAACTAATATTGCTTAGTATTTGAAGATAAGATTGCACCACAAAACTGACTCGATCAACAATTTGCTACATAATAAACGTATACAAAGTGTATTAACAAAGCAAATTTAATTTTCGAATCAATAAAAAATTAATTTGTATATTAATGTAATGGATAATAAAATACATAAAATTGTATTAACTGTTACGTTTTCTAATCTAAGAAATCTAAAAATGCATTAAAATAATAATTGATACAAATGATAAATTTAATAATATTTAAAAAAATAATAATAATAGTAATAAGGTATACTACAAAATTATACATTTAATAAAAAGTTTTCTATTCTTAAATCTTTATTTCGCTTGAATCGCGTTTTGTTTTGCCCAAACAACGTCACGCGCTAAAAAATGTTGGCTTCAAAATAATTAACTTACGGCGTGTCTATCAGTTTATATCGTCGAAGATAACAACATATACCAAAAGATAGAGAAAAATGTGCTCTATTAAATGCTACCATTTTTAATGAACAATCAGCGGTATTTTGCTGTAAAAAGTCATAGTTTTAAAGACCACTTTTAAAGCCACGATTGTGGCTCTTTGCACTCTGACGGTATAGCCACGATCGTGGCTCGTCGCGCTCAAAGGGTTAAATTATATCTTGAGATTATACTTTCACATTGATAACATAATATCAAATTGATATTTGCAGAAAAAATATTAAAAAAAATATTACAAAAATCTAAAGCTTGGCTTGAACAGCCAAGCTTTAGATGTATTGTGGATTAATTAGGTAACTTTAACTTAATCTTAAACCAATAGAGTAATTTATTCTTAAATCGATATATAAACTTAACCTTAACCAATAGAACTACTATATACATCCTCACTTTAAATTTATTAAAAAAAAAAGAAAAACCATAGCATAGGAAAGATGCCATCTTATTAATATTATTTTACACGTAATATTTACAAAAGCTAATAGAAATAAATTATTTTCATATTTTGAATATCTTATCTTTATTATGAAGGTTATATAAAAATATCTTGAAGTGATATAAATAAAATGCAATTCTAGAAAAATATAATTTCTGAAATTGAGATATAATCAAAATGCAAAAGGATTTTCAGAAATAAAATGAAACCAAAAAAATTGTTGCTTGTACATTTTTTGATGGTTTTCAGTACAATTTTTTTAAATAAAAAGCCATAAAACTGAGCAGCCTTGCAAGTCATAACATCTCTGATACCTATTTTGAAATTCTCAATACTTGAAGTAATCTTTTTGTGACATAAAAACCCTGAGTCTTTTTAATACTCCGCATCCCTGCTTGGATCATGGCTTTACTTAGATTACCTTAACACAAACATCCAGGTTTTGAATAATCTGATACCTAATATCAAATTACTATAACCTCATACAAAGTATATCTGATACCATGTATCAGATGTTTATCAACTTTAAAAAACAAACTACAAATTGTTTTGATTTTTGAACATGCAACGTATAAATGGATATTAATGAATATAAATGAGAGAAACACAGTTTTTTAACATATTAACCAACATTTGTATAAAAAATTAATAATATAAAACATTTAAATCTGTAAAAATAGAAAACATGTGAACACTTTAATTCATTACTTATATAATGTGACAAACAGCTGTTTGAATATACTAATTATAATTCCTAAAACACTTTTTTGTAGCTGTTTATACATTTTATTCACAGTAGTACCTGAGAATAAAATGTATAAACAGTATTTCAATGAATTGAAATTCATAAATACAGAGTAAAATAGAAAACAAAACAAAAATATAAAAGTAAAAATAATAACTAATATAAACAATTATGAAATCTAATAATAAAAAGATAAAACTTGGAACTTCAAAAACTTTCAAACTATTTTTTTTTCTCACAAAGCCTGCTTACCTTTGCCGAATAATATAAAAAGTAATATTTAGTGTGTTTAAATATTCTAATAACACAATAATGTATAGTAAACATAAACTTACTTCATAAAATGTTCTGAATGCATTTCTCCATTAAACACCGCCAGCACAGATGTGCTAGCCACACGTTGCAAGTTAAGATATTTGTAAACATTTTTTCATACTGTTTTTTATATATATTTATACCTAATAATAAATATTATTTTTATGAAATATATTTTATCAAATATAAAATTAAAAAATTTTCTTTTAATGTCAAGCAACAAATAAATAAAAAATTTAGAACATTTACATTTAACATTCAAGATTAAGTCTTAAAAATAGTTGGTTTGTTTTTTAATCGAATATTAAAAAAATATTTTTTTAAAAATGGCTGCTACTTTACTGAAAATTTGTAAAAAAAGATATCAGACATCAGAGATAAACTCATAGTTATCTTTTACTTCATTTATAAAAAAATTCAACAAATGGTTCTTAGTGTGTTAGGTCCATATTTAGTTAGAGATTTTAAAGTTAATTCATTATTTTAGGTTTTAAGGCTTTTTGAAAATAAAAAATGTCAATTTTTAAAAGAAAAAATACGACATCTTAAGATATA